GTTTACATGAATACAGTCTTTTTATTTATCCTGATGTGTATAATATTAAATAATATAATAATAATATTTTTTTTAATTTTGTAATGTCACCTCCACTGACAATAAAGGTTCCAGAAAAGGCCTCGAAAAAGTCCCACGGACCCGCAGTTGATAATCCCAGTTGTAGCTTGTTTTGTGGCTCTGAACACATATATTATTAGTGAGACAAGGAGCACAAATGGCTCTTTGGGTCATAAAGGTTGTAGACCCCTGGATTAGGCTTTCAAACTTGTGAAAAGGCCACCTCTTGTGTCATATCATTTGTGTWGTTGTGTTGACTCATTCAAACGCCTTTAGTGACCGGTGAAATATTAGTTGCTTTGCAGGATTATTAATATGCATATGACAGCATGTTGCCTAGCAACAGTTTCAGTAAATGGGAGAAGAAATAAAAGTTATAATTGCAGGTAACATAGAACAAATGGGTGAGGAAATATCAGCGTAGTCTTATTTAGAATGCCTTGAAAGTTTTCATGTTGCACCTGAACGATATTGGCTGCAGACACAGGTGAGTGAAATGTGAAAATATTATTTCAAACGGCAGACAAAAAGCAAACTCCAATCATAAATGCATAGCAAAATGAAAGCTTAAAGTTCTCAAACTAAAATAAATGCTTGACCTCCAAAAAGTGACATTTTGAACATCATTTTTCCTCACACAGAATCAGTTTCCCTAAATGCTAAATCAAGCAACATATACAAATATGTATTGTTAATAATGTGTCATGAGTGCAACAACACAAATTAATTCTTAATAATCAATTGAAAAAATGATTTATGCGTCCAGTGATTATTTTTGAGAATTCCAATAAAATCCGTCGACTGGCTCATGAAATATTTTGCTAACCAACAATCACACACACACATAGATATAAGCATAAACAATATTGCCCACTTTTGGTGTCACTAAGTGATAACAATCACAACACCAAAAGGTGCAACACACTGACCAGCTAGAAATGGGTTTGCACTGAAGCAAAAWATTAAACTTTTGTTTCTTTAACAAACATTTTTTAGTGAGTTTTATGGAGCTGTTGAGCCTATACGTCCAATACTTTATGAAATCATTGTTATACTATTCCATTAAAAAATCCCACAACAGGACAGATTTAAGCTTTTATTAAACATTTATTAACTCTAAAGTCACTTTAGACTAAAAAACAAAACAAACTGAATCTTCAAGGTGAAGCATTAGCACAGCTGTGACAGAACAGGTTTGAAAAGGAAAGACTCATTGATCATGATAGGTTACCTTTAGGGTGCAAAAATATTCTTAAAGTAAAGTTTTGTATATTTTAACAGGTATTAAAAGCAATAAAGGACAAGTTYTAACTGTAAAAGTATAAGAGACAGCTCAGAACTTCTTACAGGTGAGTAAATGTTACAAGTACAGATGTTTTTAGCTTTAGTTTTCTGACCACATCTGTCCGATGATGAAAACAAACACTTTAAGGAACTGCCTGTAGGTTTAGTTAATGCTTGAAATAAGGAAAACATTTTAAAGCAGCGTTTCTTTCATTCAATTTAGGTTTAGTCATAAGCTCCAACAGGTTAGTTTTCTCTTTTTTTTAATTTGTATTTTTCTGTCGTTGCTGCTCAGGGCTGATTAGAGAATAAGACAACAAAAGATGCATTTAATGTGACAAAGTTACAGTTTTATTTGAACATGTTGGTGTTGGTGCTTCTTCCTCTCAGCACGATCAGAACTGCCTCTCGTTCCAGCTCCACAAGCTTAGCCCCCCACCCCCCACCCTTCTTG